AACAACAACGCTCCCGCTCGAGACATCCTCTTTTTGGACCCAGAACCAATGCTCCTGCTCGCCGCCGGAAACCGCCGCCCCAACAAAACCAACGCTCCCGCTTGAGACTTCTTCCCGTTTTACCTGGACTGGCGCGCTACCCTTTCTCTCATCGGCGCCGCCCCCAGCAAGAACAACGCTCCCGCTCGAGAGATCCTCCCTTTTTTACTCAGAGCCGGTGCTTTGGCTCGCCGCCGAAAGCCGCCGCCCCAACAAAACCAGCGCTCCCGCCCGAGACTTCCTCCCGTTTTACACTGGACTGGCGCCCATTTTTGGGGGAATTGGCGCCGCCCCAAGCAAGAACAACGCTCCCGCTCGAGGCCTCCTCCCTTTTTCCAAAAGGCGGTGCTGTTCCTCGCCGCCGACGGCCCCCGTCCTGACAAAACCGCGGTTCCCGCTCGAGACTTTTCCCTTTCTTGCTCAAGGCGGTGTTCCTCATCGCCGCTGACAACTACTGCCGCCCCAACAGAACCAGCGCTCCAGCTCGAGACTTCGTTTTGTTTTACGCTGGACTACCGCCTTGCTCTCTTCAGCATTGGCGACGTTCCCAGCAATAGCAACGGCCCTGCTCGAGACCTCCTCTATGTCTATTCAGGGCCAAGTCCTTGCCTCGCCGCCGACAGCCCTCATCCCCACCAAGCCAATCCTGTCACTCAATATTTCTTTGTGCTTTACCCTTGGCTGGGGCTCCACTGGCGGTCTCGCATCGGATCAGCAGGGCGCGGGCATGCGCTTTCGAGGCGGGATATGTTGGCATTCCTCGGATATGTTTGCAGCACCTCATTGGGCGAGACATCTGGGAATGAGAATAACGGACCCCCGCGATAGAACAATAATCCCCCATGATGGGGATGGTTACCATGATGGTCGCATGCTGCGTGTGGAAAAATCGCGCGCGAGGGTAAAATGATTGTTGGACTCTCCCTTCTGAAGAATAACTATTGCTGATCCCCCCTCACCGGTGCACGCTGTTTTTTCTCCATCAGAGTGTGCCCCTCGACGCTCGCACCGTGTTTTTGACAGGGAGAATCTTGGTGTTCGGACTGTGTCCCTGGCCCCTGGGTTACAACAACAACAACAACAACAATGTTAAGACCGTTCGCCCTTATATGCTCCAGTATCCAATAACGCGTATTTCCCAAACCCTCGGTACCCGCCCTCTTCGTTTTCGATCGAACCCCTTTGGTGGGGTATACCTTTCTTCCCTGCAGGCCGGGCCCCGGCAAGCGGCGGGGCGGCCGCGGACCGTCGGCCTGGCCAGCGGCAGCGCTGATCGGCGGGGCGGCCGCGGACCGTCGACCCGACCCCAAGAGGGACGGACAGGGGACCGACCACGACGACGACGACGACGACGACGACGACGACGTCGAAGACGACGGCGACGACGACGACGACGACGGCGACGACGAGCGAAAGCGAGAGCGAGAGAGAACGACAGCAGGGCCACGAAGGGCACGAAGTAGGCCACGAAGGGCGACAGCGGGGACACGAAGGGAATGCGTATGGGGCCACGAAGAACGCGAACGAGCGGGGAAAGCAACTATGGGGCCACTGAGGGTAGCAACCGGGCCGCGTAGGACAGTGAGGGGGACACATATGGCGACAGCGGGGCCACGAAGGGCATGAACATGGGGCCACAACTGGCGCGACTCCTGGGTGCCTGGGTGTCGGGAGCGCGGCGCTCGGGCAAATTACAAGAAATACCAACGCAAGGCCATTCTTCAGTCAGTTGCACGCAAGTCTCCAGCGAGAGCGCGACTCCAGAGCGCCAGGAAAACGATTCTTGTATAAATTGTTCGGAAATCCAAAGCGAGAGCGCGATTCCGGAATAAAATGCGAGGAAGTCTCGGGCGGGAACGGGGGTCCTGGCTAAATTGTAAGGAAGTCTCAGGCGGGAGCCGTTGTTGTTGTTGTTGTAACCCAGGGGCCAGGGGCCCAGTTTGAGCAGGAAGACATTCCGTGCCAAAAAACAAGGTGTGAGCGTCGAGGGGCACACTTTGAGTGAGAAAAAACAATATGCACCGGTGGGGGGGGATCAACAAAAATTATTCTTCAAATGTGAAAATTCAAGAACAACAGCAACGGCTCCCGCCTGAGACGTCCTCCAAATTCACGCAGGACCCCAGCTCCTTAGACTTCCTCACAATTTACTCAGGATCGGTGGTCCCGCCTGCGACTTCCTCGCAATTTAGTCAGGACTCAGGAACGGCGCTCCCGCTTGAGACATCCCCGCAATTGAATAAAGACTTCCTCGCAACTTAATCAAAACCCCCCTCCCGCCAGAGAACCCTTCACATGTTATTCAGGAATTGCGCTCTCGCCTGTGACGCCCATGCAATTTATTGAAAAATCGCGCTTTCGACGCTCAGGAAACACGCTGCGCCAAGGACGCCGCTACAACTTACTTAGTAATCGCTCTCTCGCCATACTCTGGCATCCCGCTTGAATATCCCACCCGCCCGACCCGTCCGTCAAGGGATCGCCCGCCCGTCGTGGGCTCCCGCCGGAGACTTCCTTCAGGAACGGCGCTTTCGCGTAGAATTCCCTCGAATGTTCACGCTCTTACCTTCCTGCTCCTCCTCCCTCTCCCTCGTTCCTAGAACACCATTCCCAGGCCATATTTTGAATGCCCAGAGCCAACTGTAAGCCACTTCGTGTTCTTCGTCTTCCCAGAACACCATTCCCAGGCCTCATTTTGAATGCCCGGAGCCAACTGTAGGCCACTTCGTGTTCTTCGTCTTCCCAGAACACCATTCCCAGGCCACATTTTGAATGCCCGGAGCCAACTGTAGGCCACTTCGTGTTCTTCGTGTTCCCGGAACACCACTCCCAAGCCAATTTTGAATGCCCGGAGCCAACTGTAAACCACTTCGTGTTCTTCGTGTTCCCGGAACACCATTCCTGTACCATATTTTGATTGCCCGGAGCCAACTGTGGGCCACTTCGTGATCTTCATGTTCCCAGAACGCAAGTCCTGTGCCATATTTTGAATGCCCGATCTTTGGCAGGCTGAGGCTGAGGCTGAGGCAAGCCGAGGCAGGCTAAGGCTGAGGCTGAAGCTGAGGCAGGCTGAGGCTGAGGCTGAGGCAGTGGCTGAGGCAAACTGCGGCTGAGGCTGAGGCAGGCTGAGGCTGAGGCAGGCTGAGGCTGAGGCAGGCTGAGGCTGAGGCAGCCTGAGGCTGAGGCTGAGGCTGATGCAGGCTTAGGCTGAGAGGCTGACGCTGAGGCTGAGGCAGGCTGAGGCTGAGGCTGAGGCCGAGGCAGGCTGAGGCTGAGACTGAGGCATGCCGAGGAAGGCTGAGGCTGAGGCTGAAGCTGAGGCAGGCTGAGGCTGAGGCTGAGGCTGTGGCTGAGGCTGAGGCAAGCTGCGGCTGAGGCAGGCTGAGGCTGAGGCTGATGCAGGCTGCGGCTGAGGCAGGCTGAGGCTGAGGCTGAGGCTGAGGCAGGCTGAGGCTGAGACAGGCTGAGGCTGAGGCTGAGGCAGGCTGAGGCTGAGGCAGGCTGAGGCTGAGGCCGAGGCAGGCGAAGCCTTCGGAATCCTTAGGATTCCATAGGAATCCTGAGGAATCCCTAGGAATCCCTAGGATTCCTAAGGATTCCTAAGGATTCCTAAGGTTTCCTAAGGATTCCGATGGATTCCTGAGGATGCCCAAGAGGTTTCCTAAGGATTCCTATGGATTCCTAAGGATGCCTACGGATGCCTTATGAATCCCTAGGAATCCTTAGGACTCCATTGGATCCTAAGGCCGTTGCCACTACGACTGTCATTGCGAATGCGACTGCGACTGCGAGAACAGCAGAATTCTACAACTGGATTCTCACCTGAATCTTAAGGGGAATGCTTCCAGATATGCTTATACACATCGCTGTTAGGTTGCTTTGCCGGGATTATTTACTCAAGGCAGTGCTCCTCCTCGCCGCCGAAAACCGCCGACCGACAAAACCAACACTTCCGCCTGAGACTTTCTCATGTTTTACGCTGGACACTCTCTTTTGATTCGGCGACGCTCCCAGCAAGAACAACGCTCCCGCTCGAGGCTCCCTTTCTTTTGCTTTAGGACGGTGCTGTTCCTCGCCGCCGACAGCCCCCGACCCGACAATACCACTGCTCCCGCTTGAGACTTCCACCCTTCTTACTCAAGGCGGGGTTCCTCCTCGCCGCCGACCACCGCCGCCCCAACAAAACCAGCGCTCCCGCTCGAGGTTTCGTTTTATTTTACGCTGGACTAACCCGGAGAAGCAATTAAGGACCCCCCCGGCGTTATCATTAGCACCGCGCCGTAATTAAATAATTATTTGGGGGGGTTTTCGCCGAGCGATATTATTAGCACCGCGCAAATGGAAGGAAAATAAATAATTCCAGCGCCCCGCCTCGGGTGGCATCCCAATTAAAATTGTAATGATAATAAGAATACGAATACGAATAAGGAAAAGCTGAGAAAAGCTAAGGAAAAGCTTAGAAAAGCTAAGAAAAAGCTGAGAAAAGCTGAGGAAAGCTGGTGTACCGTGACTCCGTGGGACCCGTGCGATCTGGTGTACCCCCTCCTGGTGCCAGGATAACGCTTCCGGGTGCCGGGTGCGTTATCCTTTCACCGGAGAGGGGGGGGGGGGTCCTTAATCGCTTACTCGGGTTAGCGCCCTACTCTCTTCAGCATTGGCGCCGCTCCCAGCAATAACAGCGGCCCTGCTCGAGACCTCCTCTATTTCTATTCAAAGCCAGGTCCTTGCCTCGCCGCCGACAGCCCCCATCCCCAACAAGCCAATCCTCTCGCTCGACATTTCCTTGTGCTTTACCCTTGGCGGGGGCTCCAATGACGGTCTCGCATCGGCGCAGCAAGGCGCGGGCATGCGTTTTAGAGGCGGGATATGTTGAAATTCCTCGGAGGTGTTTGCAAGCCCCCATTGGGCGGGAGATCTGGAAATGAGAATAACGGACCCCGCCGGAGCCAGATCTCATGATGGTCGCATGCCTCGTATGGAAATATCGCCCATGAGGGGAAAATGACGGTTGTTACATACTCACTTCTTTTTTTCAACAACTAGCGCACCGAAGGAAACCTAGATGTTCGCTGGCTGCAGAAGCGGCGCCCGTAAATGGCACGCAACACAGGAAAACGTGGCGCTGTCGAGAAGCCACCTCAGCAGGCCCACCTACTGGCCCGAAGAGCGCTCGGGATCTCACCACGGTCCGAAGAAGCCGTTGGCGTTCGCGAGCACCGAGCCGAAGAAGAGGATGGTGATCGAGATCGCGTAGTTGTTCCCGTCCACGCCACCCAAGCCCACGGGCGGCGGGGGCGTGGTCGTCACCGGCGGGCCGCCGAAAAAATGCATCTCCACGGCGGGAGCACGTTGCACCGTCCGGAGGCCCGCTGAGGCCGGGGACGAGGCGCCGACGAAGGACAGCACGAGGGAGCCCACCGACAGAGCGGCGAGGGCGGCCACAGCGCAAGCGATCAGCAGGGACGCGGAGCGGGCCATTGCGGCAGATACGCGCCGAGCGCGGCACGGGGCTCTGCTTCAAAGAGATCGCCTGGGAGATGCTTCGGCCAAAACTGTTACATACTCACTTCTAGACAATAATAATTGTTGATCTCAGGACACGGTTCCGCGCGCTCTCGCCTCGACGCCGTCTACATGTTCTCTGAAAACGAAGCTCCCGCCCGAGCGTTGGCCTGAGCGCTGGCTTGAGCCTAACTGTGGGCCCTTGGAGGCCCACTTACGACAACAACGGCTCCCGCTCGATATGTCCTCAGAATTTACACTGAGACACCCTGGCCAGAGAGGCCCCCGAACTCAGGAACGGCGCTCTCGCTCGAGACTTCCTCGCAATTCAACTAAGTTGGCGGAGGCCCAGCCACGACGACAAGGGCTCCTGCTCGATATGTCCTCACGGTTTACTCCGAGAGCCCCTGGCCAAGAAGGCCCTCATACTCAGGAGCGGCGCTCTCGCTCGAGGCTTTTCCGTAATTCAGGCAAGTTGGTGGAGGCCCAGACACGGCGACAAGAGCTCCCGTTCGGTATTTCTTTATAGGTATTCCGAGAGCCCCTGACCAGAGAGGCCCCCGAACTCAGGAACGGCGCTCTCGCACGAGACTTCGCACTTCAGTCAGTGGCCGACAAGGAAGAGATTCCCCCCGAAAGGGGATGCAATCGAAAACGACATGGGCGGGTATCGAGGGTTGGGGTATACGGAATGCATGACACGCGAGCCAGTAAGAACGAACAGTCTGAAAATTATCCTGGCGAAGGACCCAACCATATGCAGTTGTGAGTATCGCAATTGGGAGTATTTTCTTCGGTGGCGCTCCCTATGGGGCCACGAACCGCATGAGGGGTGTGCCGAAATGTGGCGGGGTACACAACGCAAAGGATTACGATTGATCTGATTACGAGAGAAAAAACGCGGGTGAGTCAGAGCGCGAGGGAATCTGAGTATGAATGGGTCTGCGCGCGAGTGAATATATTTGCATGAATGCGATCATGGAACCGCCTAGTGTAAGTGTCGAGCATGCCTGTCCGAACACACGTGACACTCGGCGTGGCCGCCGCAGGCAGCTTCCGCGGGAACCCCGACGGCAGCGTCCGCACGTCGCGACGCCCATGTCGGCACGCCTCTTGCGAGGATCGCGCCCGCTTTCGGCTCTTCTTTTCCTTCCTCTTTGCCCGCGCACTCCAAAATCCAAGGCTGCGGGCGCAGCGCAGCGCGGAGTCCCCGCGACGCGCGCTGGTCGCCCCGGGCGGGGTCCCAGCGACGCGCGCGGGTCGTCCGCTGCGCGAAGCAGAGAGAGCTGACTAGCTAACTGGCTGGCTGATAGCGGGCAAGTCTCTGACCGCTGGGCAGAGCGACGACGGGCGAACGAGGCGCCGGGCCCCCCGCAGCACGGAGTTCCCGCGACGCGCGCTGGTCGCCCCGAGAGGGTCCCAGCGACGCGCGCGGGTCGTCCGCGGCGCGAGGCCAAACAATTAGTCGGGCAGTCGAGAGAAGGCGCGGCTCGGGGGAGACGCTCCTCAGGTCAGGCCTCGCGGATGAACTCGGTGAAGCCGAGCTCCCTGGCGAGGGCCGTCGCTTCCCTCCTGCACCGCTTCGTGCGCGCCGCAAACTGCTCCAGCTGCTTCCGCAAGCCCTGCGGCGGCCCTGCCAGGAAGAACTCGATGCGCGGCGCCCGCATGAGCAGGAGGTCCTCGTGGCGCGTGGCGCGCGAGAGCAGCACGTAGAGCTCCAGCCACCAGTCGTCGTCCTCCTTCTTGCCGTTCCCTACCTCGTGGCGGCCGCAATCCAGGATCACGCCTGGGCGACGTCGACCGAGGGAGCAGCGCGCCGGGCAGCCGACGGCCCAGGGCGAGAGTCCACAGGACCGAGAGATGGTCTGGCCGCGGACTGCTCGCGCCCCGGAGGTCTGGCCGCCCCCGGAGCGCCGTTCCCCCGCCCCGTCGCCTTCGCGCATGGTGCGCCCCTGGCACGCCACCGTGGTGATGACCCTGCCGTGCGAGAAATGCGGGGGGTGTGCCGAAATGGGTGGGGGTGACGCATGCGGGCGGCGGCACTGAGGCCTTCGGTGGAGCTCCCTATGGAGCCACGAAACGTGTGAGGGGTGTGCCGAAATGGGTGTGGGGGACGCATGCGGCCGCGGGCACTGGGGCCTTCGGTGGAGCTCCCTATGGAGCCACGAAACGTGTGAGGGGTGTGCCGAAATGGGTGTGGGGGACGCATGCGGCCGCGGGCACTGGGGCCTTCGGTGGAGCTCCCTATGGAGCCACGAAACGTGTGAGGGGTGTGCCGAAATGGGTGTGGGGGACGCATGCGGCCGCGGGCACTGGGGCCTTCGGTGGAGCTCCCTATGGAGCCACGAAACGTGTGAGGGGTGTGCCGAAATGGGTGTGGGGGACGCATGCGGCCGCGGGCACTGGGGCCTTCGGTGGAGCTCCCTATGGAGCCACGAAGCGTGTGAGGGGTGTGCCGAAATGACACCCCCAGTGGGACCTTCGGTGGAGCTCCCCATGGGGCCACGAAGCGTTGTCCTGGGTGGGGGAGACGCATGCGAACACCCCTACTGGGACCTTAGGTGGAGCTCCCTATGGGGCCACGAAACGCTGTCCTGGGTGGGGGAGACGCATGCGAACACCCCCACTTGGGCCTTCGGTGGAGCTCCCTATGGGGCCACGAAACGCTGTCCTGGTGGGGGAGACGCATGCGAACACCCTTATTGGGACCTTCGGTGGAGCTCCCGATGGGGCCACGAAACGCTGTCCTGGGTGGGGGAGACGCATGCGAACACCCCTACTGGGACCTTCGGTGGAGCTCCCTATGGGGCCACGAAACGCTGTCCTGCGTGGGGGAGACGCATGCGAACACCCCTATTGGGACCTTCGGTGGAGCTCCCTACGGGGCCACGAAACAGTGTCCTGGGTGGGGGAGACGCATGCGAACACCCCCACTTGGGCCTTCGGTGGAGCTCCCTATGGGGCCACGAAACGCTGTCCTGGGTGGGGGAGACGCATGCGAACACCCCCAGTGGGACCTTCGGTGGAGCTCCCTATGGGGCCACGAAACGCTGTCCTGGGTGGGGGAGACGCATGCGAACACCCCTACTGGGACCTTCGGTGGAGCTCCCTATGTATGGGGCCACGAAACGCTGTCCTGCGTGGGGGAGACGCATGCGAACACCCCTGTTGGGACCTTCAGTGGAGCTCCCTATGGGGCCACGAAACGCTGTCCTGGGTGGGGGAGACGCATGCGAACGCCCCCAGTGGGACCTTCGGTGGAGCTCCCTATGGGGCCACGAAACGTGTGAGGGGTGTGACGACATGGGCGGTGGGGACGATGATGAAGACGATGATGAGGATGAGGATGTGGATGAGGATGATGCTGCAGATGATCATTCTGACGGAAGAGAGAAGAGGAGGGGGAGGAGGGAGGAGGGGGAGGAGGAAGGAGGAGAGGAACGCGGGGCACCGTCTCTTCAAAACGAGGACCCAACACCACAGGATGGTTGGGAACAAGTGATATCATTATTGTTGTTTGTTGTTGTTGACTACTCACTTCTAAATAATCATTCTGGTTGATATCCGGAAACGGTTCCGCGCGCTCTCGCCTCGACGCCGGCTACATTTTCTCTGAAAACGAAACTCCCGCTCGAGCGTTGGCTTGAGCCTAAATGTGGGCCCTTGGAGGCCCAGCTACGACAACAACGGCTCCCGCTCGATATTTCCTTACAATTTACCCCGAGACACCCTGGCCAGAGAGGCCCCCAAGCTCAGGAACGGCGCTTTTGATTTAGATTTCCTCGCAATCGAATTAAGTTGGCGGAGGCCGGCTCCTGCTCGAAACTTCCTCACGATTTACCCAGAGATCCCCTGGCCAAGAAGGCCTCCGAACTCAGGAACGGCGCTCTCGCTCGAGACTTTGCCGCAATTCAGCCAAAATGGTGGAGGCCTCGAAACGGCGACATTTCTCCACCGGTCAGAGTGAGAGGGCCGAACGGTCATTCATTGTCCCTGGATGCGTGGCTGAATAAAGAATTCGTGGTGAGAGTTCTGCTTGTTGCGTTGTTATTGTTGTTGAATGCTCGTTTCCAAAGAAAAATGATGGTTGATCTCTGGAAACGGTTTCGCGCGCTCTCGCCTCGACGCCGACTACATTTTCGCTGAAAGCGGAGTTCCCGCTCGAGCGCTGGTTTGAGCCTAAATGAACTTACCCTGAGACACCCTGGCCAGAGAGGCCCCCGAACTCAGGAACGGCGCTCTCGCTCGAGACTTCCTCGCAATTCAATTAAGTTGGCGGATGCCCGGCCAACACGATAAGGTCTCCTGCTCGATACTTCCTCGCGACTTACTCCACAATCCCCTGGCCAAGGAGGCCCCTGAACTCAGGAACGGCACTCTCGCTCGATCTCGCTCGAAACTTTCACGAAATTCAAACAAGCCCAACAGACACGGCGACGCGGGCTCCGGTTCGATATTTCTCCATAGGTGTTCCGAGAGCCCCTGGCCAGAGAGGCCCCCGAACTCAGGAACGGCGCTCTCGCTCGAGACTTCTTCGCACGTCAGTCAGTGGCCGACAAGGAAGAGATTCCCCCCGAAAGGGAGTGCAATCGAAGACGAAGTGGGCGGGTATCGAGGGTTGGGGTATACGGAATGCAAGACACGCGTGCAAGTAAGAACGAGTAGTCTTAAAATCATTGTTGAACATTATTTCTTCTTAAGAATAATTATTGTTGGGACCCCTGGTGCGCGACCCCCCCGCCGCGCCTAGGCCGCAGCCTCATTTTAATTATTTTCGTGAGGAAGTCTCAGGTAATACGATGTCATCAAGATCCGGTTGTTTTGTTCCCCCCCGCTGTCCCTTGCAAAAAACACTATAAAATGAAATTTCTTGTTCTAAAATAACCAAACTTCAAGAATCCCTTGCAAAAAAAAAAGGTAAAGTGGACATTCGCGCGCGCAAGACGAAATCCTTCCAAAACCTTAGTGTTCGTAGCGATTTTAACATAAAAACATCAAAAAACCAATGGTTTTTCAAAAAAAAAATGTCAAAATTTCATCCCGCGCGCTCTTGCGGATTCGTAGGAAACCCAACACTTTTTAATCATTTCTGTCAAACGGGCTTTTGCGAGCAACTTTTT